AGGAGAGAGGAAGGAGAAGAAGAGGAGAGGAGGAGGAGGAGGAAGAGAAGGAGGAGGAAGAGGAGATTGTAGGATCTTTGGTGCTCTTAGAACTTGGTTGCTTTCTTGCAGATGTTTCATGAACCAACTAGGTAACATCATCATCCGTTCCAGCTATCATTTTCATTTCCTATAAACTGTGACTTTGTGGGGTGGGGAAGTAAAATCATCGCTCTTTGCTTCTTAGAGGTTATGCAGAAGCACAATTTTTTTGCTTCACAAGGCTATCTGTTTCTTTTCTTTGCAAGATCCATATGCAATTTGGATAGATTTGTCCATCCTTCCATTTTTAACATCTTCTTTTCCTTTGAAACTATTTTTGCATCAGGCATGAGATTGCTTCAAGGAAAAGAGGATATTTTTGCAGACTGCCGGCAGAAATTCTGGAACACATATAAGGTAAGTGTAGGGTTGTCACGCATAGGAGCCCATCAATTCAAGCATCTATGACATCTTTAAAAAAAAAATATTTACTGTGTATTCTGAAATAGTTAAAGACATAAGTACCACAAATAAGAAAATCAGACACAGATACCAAAATACGGGCAGAGAAGCAGCAAATCTGACATACCATAAAACAAATAGGCCTTTTGTATCTTTATTCTTTAATTTTTGTATTCTTATACTTCTGCAATATCATTTCTAAAAAAAACAACCCTGACTGATCTCCAATACATCACATGAAGCGTACAAATATTATGAGATATTTTACATCCATTTTCTACACAAAATCTGTTTCTCTCTGTTAGGCATTATGCTAAAATAAACTTAGTTAACTTTGTTCGTATCAGTGAAAAAAACAAAGCAAATGTTTAAATGAAAATACGAAGACCTTCATCTATGTAGCTGTAAACAAAAGCAGAAAACTTTGTGTTTAAATTTCATTGCAAAATTGGAAAAAATATAGTATGCACTTTGCTTTTAGGATAAACTTAGCCAACTGATTGAGACAAATAGGTATCAGTGGAATACCTATTACACTATTACACCTATTAGTGTGTTGTGTAATTCTATAGTACATCTTAAAGTGTGGTTTCCCCCAAAAACTCTCAGGGGGTCTCCAGAATCAATATTATCTGCCAGTCTACGTTGCAAAATCATAACAATATTAAAATCTCAACCGGCAATTGTGAGACATGGTAGGGCGACAAGTATGTCAATTTTTATTTTTATTTTTAAAAAATGCTAATTTAATTCAATAAATATTGATAAATATAACCCTTAACAAACAAAAGTTCTTTTGGTGGGATTCTCTGAGAGAGAGAAATGTTTCAGAAACACTACTGGAGATTATGGAATAAGGAAGCACTGTTAAGTGAAAATAATAGTCTTGCTTTAAAAAAGGAAGAAAAAAGAGTGAATATTTGCAGACCATGCTTAAGCAGGCACAAACACACACTGTTTTGTGGTTGCATAACTGCTTTAGCTCACGCTTCATTTAACGTCTCTCAGATTTCAAGTCTGTGGAAACACACTTATTAAAAACGGCAAGAGAAGAAAAAAAAATTCTGAAAGGAAGACAGCCATTGGTTTGATTTGCTAATCAAAGGAGCCTTAATTTCTTGAAAGATTCATTTACCAATCTGGCAAAGGGACAAACATATCAGCTGTGGTGTAATGTTGGCTTTTCTTAAAGTACAGCCAATCCAAAATCAGAGAGGATAAAAGAATACTTACAACGCAAATTTCACACCCACGGGCATATGCTGGCTTCACACTCTGCACTTAAGCCATGATTTGCAAATTAGGATTTCTTGCATAAAGCCAAAGGAGCTGAGTGTATAGACTGTATTCAATCCTAAACCAAACCACAACGATTGCATTAATCTGAAACACAACCCCTTGAGTTATAGCTGGGAGCAGTGAGTGTATGAATGGAACCAGTGTTTCCTTCCACATTTTTTTGTTTAAATCGCCTTGGCACATAATATTCAAATAAAATTCATCACGTCCTCCATTATTTTAGCTAGCGGTTGTGAATAACCAGCAGACTGGGTCCCCCATAATGTTGTGGAATCAAACTCAGAATCCAAAGCAACGGAATCAAGACTCATTGCTGGTGGTGGGATTCAAATTTTTTTACTGCCGGTTCTGTGGGCGTGGCTTGATGGGTGTGGTGTGGTTTGGTGGGCGTGGCAGGGGAAGAATACTGCAAAATCCCCATTCCCTCTGCACCCCATTAACCTGCTTTCCAGCTCCGTTCTCCTGTGCAGGGCAACCTAAGGAGACCCAGCTGATCAGCTGGGACTCAATGGGAGGCAGAGAAGAGATGGGGTTGGCGGGGCCGGTCAGAGGTGGGGTTTGCCGGTTCTCTAAACCACTCAAAAAAAATTTAAACAACCCATTCGTCATTTTCCCCCATCTTGATTGGTTATTTTGAACATGAGCGTGAGGCTTTATAGGAGGACAACAGATCATTTTTCTCATATTGCCTGTTTGCATGACTCTAATCCAAGAATTGTTGTTTTTCTTTTTAAATTCCAGACAGGGTTGATGTACTGGCCTTTTGTACAGGTGAGTGTCGGCCTCCTCCCCCTCTTCCTCACCTGCCTCTTCTTCCTCCTCCTCCTCCCTCCTCCCCCACCTTCTATTCTTACCTCCTTTTCCTCCTTCCCCTCCCCTTCCTCCTCCTCTGCCTCTTCTTCCTCCTCCTCCCCCGTCCTCCTCCCCTTGATCTTCCTCTTGCTCTTCTTTCTCCTCCTTTTCCCTTTCTCCTTCCCCCTCCTCCTCACCTGCCTCTTCTTCCTCCTCCTCCTCCCTCACCTTCTCTTCTCTTCCTCTTCCTCCTCCTCCTCATTGGATAATTCGCCATGGGCGAATAGGCGGCAATATAAATCAAATAAATAAATAAATAGTAAAATGTCTGTAAGAAAACAACCAAGCTCAAAAAGCACCAAGGAGCTGACAATTCTCCTCACTTCCTCCTCCTCCTTCCTCCACCCTTCTAGCACTGATAATGTTACCTAGTTGGGTCATGAAACGTCCGTAAGAAAACTGCCACACTCAGCACCAAGGAGCCCTCATTCCAACCCCGAGCTATCGATTACTTTCCTCTTATCAATGTCTGTTACGTCCCGAGGCCTTGCGGCTTGACAGAATCTTCCTTCAGCCTTCCTTCCTTCCTTTCCTTCCAAATAGCTTTCTAACTTCAGCTTTGTTCCGGTCTACCTGAGGACAGCGTTTACTGGCTTCTGTGGCTTCCTTTGGGCCGTTTTCCTGTGCTTTTCCCAGCAAAGCGGGGATGGAACAGCGACGTCGGTTTTCAAGCTGTTCCACGAGGAGAAGGCAGCCCCAGGCAAGACATCTTCAGGGAAATAAACCGTCAACGGAGCCATGATGACCAAGACTTTAGGACCAACCTCATGTTTATGACTCTTGCAGTATTCTGTGGCGCAGTGGTTGGAGTGCAGTATTGCAAGCTATTTCTGCCACCAGCTGCCTACAATTTGGCAGTTCAAATCCCACCAGGCTCAAGGTTGACTCAGCCTTCCCTCCTTCCGAGGTGGGTAAAATGAGGACCCAGATTGTTGGGGGCAAGAGGCTGACTCTGTAAACCGCTTAGGGAGGGCCGTAAAAGCACTATAAAGCAGTATATAAGTGCTATTGCTATTCCCACTGTCACGCGATCCGAATTTGAGCTCTCAACAACAGGCACAGATTAACAACAGGTGCAATGTGCCAGGGTCATGCCATCCCAATTTGCAAAACTTTTCCAGCTGGCCTCCGACAAACAAAATCAATGGGTTAATCTGGACTCACTTAACAGCCTCATGTTTCACTTAACAACCACGGCCAAGAAAAAGCCCATAGAATCGGGGGTGACTCAATTCACCTCGCTTAGCAAACAACAATTCTAGTTCAAATTGTGATCGTAAGTCGAGCACTACATGTGTGTACCTTGTAGCTGTAGCTGTTCGTGATGTAGATGCTTATGGATAATATTTTCTGTATATACTGGAAGGTATTTCTTATGGGGAGAAAAACACACAAAAAGCAATCTAAACCAGTGGTCGCCAACCAGAGGGCCGGGGACCACTGGTGGCCCGTGAGAAAATTTTGGTGATCCTCAGAGAAATGTCACCCCCAAAGCAATTAATCCAGGCTGCTCAGGAACACAAGGCTGAGCCTCCCACATGGCCCGCGAGAACACAAGGCTTGCGTCACTTGCATTGCAAACAGCATGAGGTAGTGAGGGGAGGGGGGAAAGGGCGGAGGGGGGGAACTTGCCCCACTCGCCCCATGTGCCTCGCCTGGCCACCGGGTTGCTTCTTTCCACTTCTTTCTTCTTCTGCTTTTGGCTGCATGCAAGGAAAGCAACCAAAGTCTGTCTTTCTCTCCCCCAAACTCCACCATAAATGAGTCCTTGGGACCCTGCAAGGCATCCTGCTCCAAGAGGCTGTGCTGGCACAACAAGTCTTACAAGGACTCATTTCTGCTGGAGTTTGGGGGAGAGAAAGAAAGACTTCTGCTACTTCTGCTGCTTTCCTTGCATGGAGCCAAAAGTCTCTCTCTCTCTCTCTCTCTCTCTCTCCCCCACCCCCACCCCCAAGAACGGAGCTGGAGATGGTAGCCTGCGATCCCAAATAAAGAATGATCGATCAGTAGGAAAACAGGGTGGGGAAGTTTCCTGCAGACTTTTTTGTGTGTGTGGGGATTTTCCCAGGGTCTCTGGTCTGTGGGATTTAAAATTATGAGTTTGGTGGTCCCTGAGGTCCAAAAGGTTGGTGACCCCTGGTGTAAACGAGGTGCAAAAATTGATTTGTGGGGAACTCCCTTTAGAAATGTATTAGGGGGGAAGGGTGTTCTCAAATTTTTCTTTTACTCAATAATAGAGAGACGAGTAAACTATTTCAACCGTGTTAACTGTACTGTAAATTCCCTTATTTTTAAAGCCGTCAAAATGCGATATGAGAGGTTTCCTGGTGGTCTTTCATCGCTATCCTAACCAGGTTTCCCCAGATAGTTTTTCAAGCTACTTGCATGTGGCAGTTTCATGCCATGCTGGAGTATCGTTGGAAGACCTAGGTCCTAAGAGATCAGATTAAAAGGCGGTCATAGATCCTCTATCTCTGTGGTCCCTAAGAATCAACTTGATCAGCTCAATTAATCAATGAAACACATAGCAGTCTGGAGAAGACTTTAGTGCTAGGAAAGGTGAAAAGGAGAATGAATGATCCATAAGTGGATGGATTCAATTATAGTAGCTGATAGGAAGACCTGAAAGATGACATTAGAGATACCTCATCACAGGGAAAATTTATCTGTGTTGTCACAAGTTGTCAAAAAGAACTGAAAGCCACACAATCGGCCATTGCAGTCTATTTTTTCCCCTTAACATAACAGATAATCACAGTTGGAAGGGACCTTATAGGTCATCTAGTCCAACCTCCTGCCCAAGCAGGAGACCCTACACCATTTCTGACAAATGGCAGCTCAGTTTCTTCTTGAAAGCCTCCAGTGATGAAGCTCCCACAACTTCCGAAGGCAACTTATGTTCCATGGATTGATTGTTCTCACTATCAGAAAATTCCTTTTTATTCCCAGGTTGAATCTCTCCTTGTTCAGTTTCCATCCATTATTCCTTGTTTGGCATTCAGGGGCTTTGGAGAATATCTTAATCCCTTCCTCCTCTCTGTGGCAGCCCCTCAAATATTGGAAGACTGCTATCCTGTCTCCCTTGGTCCTTCTCTTCACTAGACCAGCCATGCCCAGTTACTCTAATCGTTCTTCGTATGTTTTAGTCTCCAGTCCCCTAATCCTCCTGGTTGCTCTTCTCTGCACTCTTTCTAGAGTCTCAACATCTTTTTTATAGCGTGGTAACCAAAACTGGATGCAGTATTCTAGGTGTGGTCTTACTAAGGCTTCATAGAGTGGTATTAGTACCACACTTGATCTTGATTGCATCCCTCTATCCTTTCCCCTCCCTCTTCTGGCAGGACACAAACAACAACACAACGGGGCAGCGATTTGCTTGTCCAAATATAACTCAAGCGTACAGTATAGACGTTGTCTCAAAGGTGGGGGTTTTTTTCCCCCAAGAGGCAACTGGACTTTCTGCTTTTTCTTTGAAGAGGTTTCGCTTCTCATCCAAGAAGCTTCTTCAGCTCTGATGAGAAGTGAACCGCGTGTATCAAAGAAAAACTAAGAAAGTCCAAATTGCCTTTTGGGGAGGAGGCGGGAAAGCACCTTTGGGACAACTATGACTTGGAGGGCTGAGAATCTCCATATAGACCAGGGGCCCCCAAACTTGGCAAAATTAAGACTTGTGGACTTCAATTCCTAGAATTCTCCGAGAATTCTGGGAATTGAAGTCCATAAGTGTGAAAGTGGAAAGTTTGGAGACCTTCCCGTCCGGGCCTGGGACTCCACGACGGGATTTCATGCTTCCGCGGCTCGGTTTAAGCTGTCAAAGCCACTCCACGAGCCCAAGCACGGCCGCTGGCTCTCGATTGGCCGGGCGAGTCAGGCGCGACAGCCAATCCTCACGCACGTTCCCGGGAGGAGGAGAAATCCGCCTCTTCCCGCCCTTCCGATCTTCTTCTTGTAACGCGATTGGCTGAGGCGTGCGGCGCGCGCGGGGCCGCGATTGTTGTTGTCAAGGAGACAGGGAGGAGGGAGCGGCCGCTGCTGCTGCTGCGGCCTCCGCGGCGCTCGCCGCCCCTCCGCCTTTTTTTTTGGGCTCCTCCTGAGGCGCGGCGCCCGCCGCCATGTTTTGCTACTCGGAGGGGCTGCTGGTGGCCTTCTCGGCGGTGGTGCTGGCGGCGCTGGCGCTGAGCCGGAGCGCCACGCTGGCCTGCGCTCTGTCGGGCGGCTTCTACCTGGCGCTGCGCCTCTTCAGCCTGGAGCCCGTCGCCCCGCAGCGCGCCCAGCTGGTGGTGCAGCCCCGCGGGAACCCCGCCCGCATCGCCCACCGAGGGGGAGGCCACGACGCCCCCGAGAACACGCTGGCCGCCATCCGGCAGGTCGGCGCCGGTTTTGCGTGTGTACAAGGGGCGCCCTTTGGCGTGGATGTAGCGCTGGCTGCGTGGGGAGGGCCTGGGGGAGGGGGGGGGTGACAAGGGTGGTGAGTGTGTGTGTGTGTGTGTGTGTGTGGTATTTGTTGGGTAGGTGTTTGTGTGCACAGTAGGCATCGTATATCCGGGCTGCAAGCATCTGGATGGCAGCAAATAGTCATTCCTTGTTGACAGCTGGTTCTTGGGATGAAAATTAATAGATTTATCTGTCTGTCTATGTCTATCATCTCTATCTGTCTATCATCTGTCTATATATATCATCTATTTATCCATCATTACCTACCTACCATCTATATATCATCTATCCATCATTTATCTATCACCTGTCTCCAGATGAAAATGAATAGATGTATTTATCCTGTCTGTTTGTCTGTCTATATCTATGTAAAGGAGTCAGTCAGTCAGGTCAGTCAGACAGAGACAGACATAGGTAGGTAGGTAGATAGATGATAGATAAACAGACAGACAGACAGATAGATAAGATAGGTAGGTAGGTAGATAGGTAGAGCGATAGGAGTGATAGAGCGATAGATTGATAGACAGAGTGATAGATAGAGCGATAGATTGATAGATTGATAGATAGGCAGATAGAGCGATAGATAGATTGATAGAGCAATAGATAGATTGATAGATGATAGATGACTGATTGATAGATGATAGATGACTGATTGATAGATGATAGATATGATAGATGGATTAGATAGATAGACAGAAGACAGACAGATAGATAGATATATTCACAGACATACTGTAGATACTGAACCACAGAAATCCTACTGATTTGCAGTTATGTATAAATCACACTTCTTATTTAACTCCAGCAGGATTTAAGTAGTGCAACAGCATGGATTTTATTAAGTTATTTAATTTACAATATTTGCTTCTCATTCCTGAAGGAATTGAGGAGCTAGCAGTCAGAAAGATGAGATGGGCCTCCCACTGCTACATTTATTGAATAAGATGAATCTTACAAATAAAGAGGCCTCGATGAATTGAAAACCATTAGAAAGAAGTGATTGCAATTAATTGTGTGATTAAACAAAGAAAAGGCTAGGTTTGTTTGGCTTGCAAACAGGACGGATTAAAACATCAAAGAACCTCCTAAACAGAGGCAGAAAATTAGCATGGGAGATCACCAGCAAATATTGGTGAATCATTAAAGATAATTATAGTAACTGTCTGTTTCCCCAGATAATGTACAGTACACTTGGATCAGAAGGGAATTTATGACAGAAGCTGTTTACACTGTTTCTTTTCCTAATGGCTGGTAGAAACCAGATTCTAATACTTTTTGAGTAGCCTTTGCTGATTTCTGAATGCAAACCTTCTTTTGCATTGTTTATTGTATGACTTAATTGCCTTATACGCAATCATAAGGTGTCCCATTCTTTTGTTGTGTTTGCACAACACGGCTGTTCCGGTCAGTGCTACTTTAGAGAAGTTCCTTAACCTGTCCGGTGGCAGCACCTGGTCACAAATGTTCTGTCAGACGAAAAACTATTTTGACAACCTCTCAGGAGGGGTGGGATTGTACCGGTTCTGTCTGGCTCTGTAGAACCGGTAGCTCTGAAGAAAAGCAGACAGAGAACCAGTTCTATGTCTGCTGATGTTTTGGCCCACCCGCCCGCCTGGGCTCTTACCTGACCTTTATTTCCTGCTTTTTCAACCTCAGCTGCCATGCAAGGCACAGCTGAGGTTGAAAAAGCAGGAAAAAAGTGCTTTTTCAAATGCTGCTTCTCTGCACTCAGCAGTCTGGGCAGCAAGCTGATGAGGATTTACAGGTGGGTGCGCAGTGTGCAAGGAAGCACATCGTAAATCACTGAGCCTCATAAATCACCGAACCGGTAGTTAACACTGTCGGATCCCACCCCTGCCTCTAAGCGGGCTGTAAGGGACGCCCTGGCTCAATGGCTAAGACGCTTGGCTGGTTGATCAGAAAGGTTGGCCGTTTGGCGGTTCGAATCCGTAGCTACACGTAATGGAGTGAGCTCGCATTACTTGTCCCAGCTTCTGCCAACCTAGCAATTCGAAAGCATTTATAAAAAAAATGCAAGTAGAAAAATAGAGACCCCCTTGGTGGGAAGGTAACAGTGTTTCGTGCGCCTTCGGCGCTTAGTCATACCAGCCACATGACCACGGAGACACTTCAGCTTTGGCACGGAGATGAGCACCGCCCCCTAGAGCCGGAAATGACTAGCACGTAGGTGCGAGGAGAACCTTTACCTTTAAGTGGCTACAAAGGAGACCTCCAACACCTCTGAGTAATGTCAAGGATAAAGCCAGGGAAAATTTGCCTATCTTCCATCACTGAGCTTTCCCTTTGGAGCTTGGGCTTGCAACTCTGATATCCAAAAGATGAAATACTCTAGCTTGAACATTTGTTTTTAGTCGTCCCTGTTGAAATAACATGGATTTGTCAGTAGCAATTTTGCTTAGGCTTCATTGTTCGGTTCTTTGTTTCTCCACTTCAGCAACTTTAAGATACGTGGACTTCAGTTGTCACTACTGCTAAGCCAGCAAGCTGTAGCTGGTTGGATAATTCCCAAGGCAAAGTTATACCAATACATTGAATTGAAAGCTTACTGTATTATGCTCTGAAAATGTGGACTTTGTTTCTTAAGGCAGCTGAGAATGGAGCCACAGGAGTGGAACTGGACCTTGAATTTACTGCAGACGGGGTTCCTATCCTTATGCATGACGAAACGGTGGACAGGACCACTGATGGCTCTGGAAGTTTGCGTGACTTGACGTTTGCTGATATTCGACAGTTTAATCCAGCTGCTAAACATAGATTATGGTAAGGGAACAACCCCGTCGTTCACTCACTGAGTCGTGCCCAATTTTACGACCTTGTTTGCCACAATTCTTAAGCGAGTCACACATAGCCCTTAAGCAGACCCAGCTTCCCCTGTTGAATTGGCCAGTTGGGGAGGTCAACGAATTGTAACCACATGATCCCAGAATGCTGCAACCATCATAAATACATGCTGGTTGGCAAATACCTGATCAAGTGACCATGGGGATGCTGGAACAATTGAAAATCTGCGGATTGGTTGTAAGTCAGTGCCATTATAATTTCAAAGTCACTAAACAAGTGGTTGTAAGTCGAGAACTACCTGAACATGTACTTTTTTTGTGGATCGCAACTTCCCAATAGATAATCATGTCTTCTGGTGCTTAAATGACTAAATTCTTCAAGGATCTTTATAAGAGTTGGTGTTCCTTTTCTACTGGAATATATGTTGGGATCTTTAGTGGTGGTACAGTACAAATGGGGAAATATTTCCTTTTTTTTAATTGGATACTTTTCTGTTTAAATGCACACCTTTCAAGTAGGTCTGGTGATTTTTTTTTCCTCCAGGAGGGATTATCGTGGGGAAAAAATACCAACCCTAAAAGAAGCTGTTTTGGAAAGTTTGCATCATGACCTCATCATCTACTTTGATGTCAAGGGACATGCAGATAAGGTACCCTTCCAACAGTTTTCCTTTCCTGTAGAGCTCTTCCATTTGACAAAACGTTCTGACAATAACATGCTGAAACAAACAAGGTGATTTTTTAAATACTAGTTTTATTCATGGCACTAAAGTAATGACGGGGTAAAGGTTTCCTCATAAATGCTTTTTCTCTCATTCATAGAGCTGTGTTACGGAAGGGGCAGAGAACTATTTTTTTTAAAGGCACTTATTATCAGCATGTGGTTTTTTTTCTGATTATAGAGTAAATTGCATGAAGATACTGATACTGATCTTACTCTGAGTACCTAGCACCAGCAAGTAGAGTCTTGCTCTTTCTCAGTCCTGTTATTTGAAAAAAATCAAGAGTTGAGGTTGGAAGCGTCTTCGTTGACTCTAGGGCCGAATTCTGAATCTTTCCTTGAATCTGTATTTCAGTTAAACCAAGTTGCTGTTTTTGAAAGCAACTTTCCCACGTACATTACTGGTAGTACATTCTGCTCCATTCACCTGCCTTGGTGTGTATTTTTCCCCCAAAACACAAATTATTTTGTGCTCTGCACATGCCACTTTAAGCAGTAGCATCTGCTATGCAAGAATTCCCCCTGGTAGCTGAAATGTACAAGAAAAAAACCCTTGTCTTTGTCCAGTGCTTTTTTTAAAATGCCATTTTCTTTTTACTGGCAGGCAGTTGCAGCCCTGACACAGCTCTACCTAGAATATCCACGGCTGTACAACACCAGTGTGGTTTGCTCGTTTATGCCAGATGTTGTCTATAAGGTGAAGATTTCAAAACGTTGTCTCATAATTTTATGACATGACAATAGGAAGTTTTTGAGTAGGCTTGGTGTTCTACAAGATGCACAAAATGTTAGAAACAGGGAAGCACATGCTACCTATTTTTTAGAACCTTAATTGCCATCTAGCTTATTTTAACATGCTCAGTAAACTCCGGGCCTTCCCTACATTGGAAAGTCAGTATAAAAAGAGTTCATTGGATTAAGCCTAAGAGTTGATCACGTTAGTGTTTTACATTGGCTGTGGAATGGAGAAACGTGTTTGTCTTGGTGCTTTTTAATGCTTGTGTGTTCGGTTTATAACACCAATGCCCTACTTCATCTCCCTGAGGAAAAAGTGAGTAATAGGTACCTTTCTGTATGCATTAGGTAGGATATTTGTGTTTTAAAGGGTGTATGGATTGACTGAACTGCTCGACGTCAGTCCTATCAAAGGCTGAAGCATTTCTGAACAAGATCTGTTCAACTTGGAAGTAAATGCTCGTGGAGAAAATCAGTGGGATATTTTCTTCTGAGTTTTGGATTGTAATGCAAAGCAAGGGGGATCTTCCCACAACCCATGATTTGCAGTTTGATTCCCACGACCTCCAGAATGCGGGCAATGTTAAACCTCTTGTATTATAACCTCATTAAGCTACCGGGATGCAGGTGTTTAGCTTTGTGTGATTTGGTCTTTTAGATAAAACAAGCTGACAGAAATATCATAACAGCTCTGACCCACCGACCCTGGAGCTTCAGTCATTACGGGGACGGGAAGCCTCGCTATACGGTTTTTTGGAAACACTATTTGTCTATGGCCTTCGATGTTATCATGGACTGGAGCATGCACAACTTCCTATGGCATTTATGTGGCGTTTCTGTTTTCCTGATGCAGAAAAACTACGTTTCACAGTAAGTTGAACAGCATACTTGATTTTCACCCGTCTGTGGCTGCTAGATTTCTTGATGGTGATTGCATGGAGAAAAGTTGGTCTCACATTTATGAAACGGAGACCTGGAGAACAATGGGATCTCTAGAGAGCTTTCTCTGGACAAATCCTCCAAATTTAAATGGTTTTTAATCCTGAGGAACATTGGATCTACACTGAGCTTTTTCTGGATGAACCCCAAACTTTAAATGGCTCTAATTGCCTTTGTGGGTTTTTAAAGGAGGAAAGAACTGTATCAGAACAGTAAAGAGGCTATAGAAACATTTTAAAAATAAGCCAGAATGCAACTACTTGTCCCCTCATCCTTTTTGCCTACTTCCTTTTAGGGACTACGTAAATCGTTGGTCCTCGAAAGGGGTTCACGTTGTCGCTTGGACCGTCAACACGCTTGCCGAAAAAATGTATTACGAAAACGTTCTCCAGACCACCTACATGACCGACAGCTTACTAGAGGATTGCGACCCTCACTACTAGCTCGATCTTCAACTCCCAGTTGGCTTCCTTAAGTCAGACTGGAGTTCAGTGGGACTTTATGATTTTATTTCGCCGAGGCCACATCGCTTCCCTCAAGGGGGAGGAAAACGATTCCATGTCGGGTTGCACCAAGCTTCTTCCTTTTGGCTGGGATTGAGATTTCTCACAACTCACTTTTGCTCCAAGAATGAATCAGCATTTTTAGTCATATAGATACGTGCAGCTGAAATGGGGGGACGGGGGACGGGGACCCCGATCCACTACAAGGTAGGCAAAATTAAGAAGGTTGGGAATGAAATTTTTGGAAAATTCATGGAATGCTCCATTTTTCCCGTGCGCCTTCCCTGTCCTCTAGTGCTCCAGTAGCAATCTGGCAGTTTCCCAGAAGTAAATCAGAAATGATTTTCAAGGTGTCCTGAGGGGTGTCCTTGTTCCCTGTTTTGTCCAGGATGCCAGTTCAGAAAAATGGCCAATTACCCCAGTCAGTCTAGTCTGGAGAGAGAATGAACACTTTTTTTTCCCCATTGTTCTATTCCTAAATCTGAGTTCTGCACATTCTTGGTTTATACTTGGTCAAAACAGAACTACCAACTGCACTGAATAAAAACCTCTTGCTGTTTTGTCCTCACAGATCACACCACATTCGACAAGACTTAAGAAAGAACCCAGGTAGTCTGTATGGGCCCATGACCATTCATTCAGCAAATGTTCCAAGTTACGGCAGTGCCGAACGAACGGTGGTTATCACCATCCTCGGAGGTGCGACCATCAAAAGCGTTCCCTTAGGCACACAAATGCAATCTGGGCAGTTGGCAACCAGTTTGCACTTACAGCCAGTTGCAGCTTTCGCACGATCACTGTTGCAACCTTCTCTGCCGGCTTGCCCAGAAAATCAGTGGGGAAACCAGCAGAGAGGATTGCAAGTTACTCAGGTAAGTTTCCCACACCTATGCGGCCTCCCTGCCCCTTTGTGCCATGCCAACCATTTATTCACCTGCCTCGCCTGCACCCCTTCACATCCGCACCTCACCAACTCATATACCCTTCCTGACCCGTGCCACGCTTCTCATGCCCCCCCTCATCACATCCTTCTCCACACCATCAGACCCTCCACACCCTATTACTCCTTTCCCTTCCTATTTACTCGTCTGGGCCTTGCCACTTCCTGCCAGTTTTCCTCCCTGACTTTGGTTGTGGGAAGCCAACAGGAAGTTCCTTGCCTAATGACCCTGGGATTCAGTTAACGACGGCAGGGTGCAGGAATTACCATTGGCACTTCACAGTTGCATCGCTTAGCCACAGAAATTCTGGCCCCCAACTGCTGTCATAAGTCGAGAATTACCTGCAGTGAGTTCGGGGAGATCACTTCCAACTATGTCCAGTGTGCAAACATTTTCTCTCTCCCGCCCATAAATTCAAGGTGCAGCTTTGATAATGCAGTTAACCTCTCGATCAATACTTAGCAAGGCAACGTGCAATATATTTTGATGTGGTCGGGCTATTTAATGAAAGCTGGGAGTGGGGAGCTTTTCACAGCTGTCAGGGCTAGGATGATAAAAGCAAGGTGCATTTATGGCAGGTTTAAAAGTTAACTTTTGTTGAAGGTTGCATTTCTAACTTGAAAGAAATGTTTACATTGCGTCTGTTCACGGAAACCTGAAACAGTTCTCTGGACTGCGTTTTTCTTCAGTTAGGTCTTTTCAACATTGAGATTTGCCCAAAAGTGAAAGAATACCAATGATTTGTAAGGATTGTTTCCATCAGGATTGAAAGTGTCACCCCATAAAACATCACTGTGTTAAAGATTACAGCAATAAAGGATTTTTAAAACAACGTTTTGGATAACTGCTGTAATGGAAACCACTACTAGAAAAAAGGGAAAACCAGGGATAAATTATCTCACGTGTTCAGGGTTTGTGATCATCTATAAATGTGGCACTAAAATGTCCCACTAGTGCAAAAAACTGCTGCCTTAAACTTTTGCAGTAAAGCACAAATAAAATTCTTGATACTTCAAAATTTCTTAAGCAATCTCTCATTTGGATATAATTTGGATGAAGCAGAAATGGGCACTTAGCAACTGCTATTCATTTTGTTCTCAAAAAGTTATTGATTTAAAATGCAGCTGCTAAGTCAGGCAAAATACATACATGGTTATAATTATTCCAAAATTCAGTTTCCCCCATACATCACAAGCCAGTGTTTAAATTAAAATGTTCTGTAAAACTGTTTCTGCCTTTTTTCACCATGCTGCTATACATGTTTTTTTTTAAATGAATGTTTCCTTTATTGTTCTCTGTACTGTACAAATCTCTGTATAATTTCTGTAAAATAAAAATCCTGACAAAGGAATAAATGTGGAGAGAAGATAATGATGTTTAAGGAATTATTCCTGGTGATTATATTACCTTACTGTCAGATTTCCATGATGCAATTAATTAATGAAGCCTATTTCCTCGATTGTACAATAAGTTTTGGTGAGGTGTGGAGAGAGATTCTTGTCATAAGGAATAATTTTGTGCCTTCATTTTCTGAAGTCATAATAAAATAAAACCTCATCAAATGTAAAAGTGCCCAGTAATTTTATTTAAAAATTTCTCATTTTTACAATTACCTTATTTGTACAAATAGCAAAATTCTAGATAAAAAGTGCTTGGTGGGATGTGTGTATTACAATACTTCATTCTTCACTTCCACTTCAAGCTTTCTTCAAGCTTTCCGTTTCCTTGTTCAGCCTCTTGTCTGGCTCTCAAAGCCAAAACCAGAGCATCCGATGGTCCAGCATTCCAGGTTATTTCGCCAGCCCCTGTTGCAAACAAAAGGAAGAAAACTGGTGTACTGTAGTTCAGAATAATAGAATTGGAAAGGAACTTGGAGGTCTTCTAGTCCAACCCTGTGCTTATGCCATTTCAGACAAATGGTTATCCAATCTCTTCTTTAAAAACCTTCAGTGTTGGTGCACCCACAACTTCTGGGGGCAAGTTGTTCCGCTGATTAATTGTTCTCACTGTCGCGAAATTTCTCCTTAGTTCTAGGTTGGTTCTCTCTTTGATTAGTTTCCACCTGTTGCTTCTTGTCTTGCCTTCTGGTGCTTTGGAGAATAGCTTGACTCCCTCTCGTCTTTGTGGCAATGTGTCCATGTTCCTAATAGTCCCTTTAGGGTTTCTTCTCTCAAAGCACACCAAAATGTGACCCCCATTAAACACCCAATTCTCCTGCCCCAGATGTTCATGCACTTATGCGGCCCACATGGTCAGTGAAATCCCTCAGATCTCTGAAGAGGTGATACACACGTAGATGTGGGGAAGCCAGGATCTTCCATACCACCAAAGTTTGGTTTCTGGCACCAAATTTCAATGGCACAATTTGGAACGCTCTTGGGTTTATCTCAACTCTTTTACCTACACACAAGTAGGTTTCTTCTTCCCATCCCACAAACCAAGTACTAGGAGAAGCTTTTTTGGCTTGGGACTTCCCTTACAGCCTCTTTCTACACATCTGATTGTGTCACTTCCCCTTTCAGACAAAACTAAAGGCGAATGTTGTGTCAAGCTTGACTTCCGATGACCACAAAGTTACCTTACCAAGTTCCTTTCTCCTAACCGTGTTTTGGCTTTCCAATCTAGCCTGTACTCATAATACTAGCACGAACCATAGTTCACTTAACTTTTTGAGATAAGCAGCATCAACTAAGCACGGTGATCATGCATGCTTTCAATTTAGCATGTTGAAATTAACTTTTGATGAAAAGGATCCCAAGCACCTATTGTATAGCACAATGATACAACTATTCTACCTGACATTTAGTACTTACCAGAATTAAAAGTGGCCATCCCAGGGTGTCTAGCAGACTGAAAAGGAGACAATCATAAACTTTGATTAGAAATACAGATCACTGTTTTAAACGTTGTAAAGCAGCTTACTGGTATGTTTATCAGACAAACATCTGATGTTCATCCTGGCAGTGCTCATTTCATACTACTGATTTAAAGACTGCTAATATTAATAACATATTTTTCTGCCTAGTGGGAATCAGGTTAGCTTTTCGTCAGTATCAAATTCATGATGGGGCTTCTTACTTTCATCGTACTTCCACATATATTGAAGACTTCTCATGCCAAAACCTCCTACTACATCAACTGGTTGACTTGCTAATCAGTTAAAAGAATGAGGCAAATGCTCTTCGGACAATTCAGGCAATGATCACAATTGTTGAGCAATTTGGAGGTACAGGGGTTAAAGGTAAATGGCAATGCATAAAAGACACAAATTCACCCCCCAAAAATCCCCCAAACTTTCTGGGTTTTGCTATCCTGAAAAAGGAAGGAGAACAGAAGAATTCTAGAGTTTCTCAAAAGGTCCCTGCCCTATAAACCTAATTTTTTTTTTCTTGTGTTCCTTCTCTAGCCTCCTGCCTTTCTCAATCTTGCTCTTTAGGTGGGTTGGCAACATGGTCACGGGATGAAAATTATGGAAGCTGTGGTCCAACTCATCTAGAAAGTATCAAACTGATGAAGGCTGGGCCAAGAACTATCAGAAGCCCAGTGTTGGGAAGAAATGAAGTTTCCATCTGGTGGAGACACTGCTAAGGACATTTATGGTTTAACCCAGGGGTGGGATTCAAATTTTTTAACAACCGGTTCTGTGGGTGTGGCTTAGTTGGTGGGCGTGGCTTGGTGGTCATGTGTCTGGCTGGGTGTGGCCAACTCAATATCATTCACATCGAGGCACGCATCTCCTCGCCTGGCCTCTCATGACTGGGGATGCTGCAACAGTCGTAAGTGTGAAAAATGGTCATAAGTCACTTTTTTCAGTGCCATTGTAACTTTGAATGGTCACTCCACACAAGCAAAGTACCAGCAAAGGAGGGGCTAAAAAACTCCAGAGATGTTCCAGAGACAGGAAGTCTCGTCCTGCCAAGAATGTAATAAGGGTTAATGGAGAGGCAGTTTCTGTAAGCAACACCAGAATGTTTCCTTCCTGCCTTCCTTACAGGATTAGCCCAGTAATTTCTTCTAACAACCGGTTCTCCAAACTGCTTAGAATGTTGACAACCGGTTCTAGCGAATAGGTGCGAACCTGTAGAATCCCACCCCTGGCTTAACCTCAGAAAGGTATCCTTCATATTATCTATCTTCTCCAAACATCAGCATAATGTAGCCCAGATGTGTCAAACAATATGGCCAAAGTTGGTGAAGTATAACGGGAGGTGAAGTCCAACCTATCTGCAGGACAGCATAGAAGATTTAGCAACTGCAATTTGAATGCTTTTATGTAAAAGAAAGCGCTCCAAAATTTGCTCACACCACACCCTCAACTGCACCTGCTATTACCTCAGTAGAAGACTCTCCATCTTCGGTCCATAGAAAGGGGTCCACGCAGCTGGGCAGTAAAATTGAGCTTTGCTCCCTAGGTAGCTGGTTCAGAGACAGGTCCCTCTGGAAGGCCAATCAAAATTCGGCTTACTTTCTGTCCTTGACTAGAGTTGTGTGCTGTCAATTACACACCCCACCTCCCATTTCTTATGACAAATCTAAGATGAGTATTGTCATGACATAAAACCTTCGCCAAAGTCCCCCAAAGCATGCTACAATTGCTCTTTTTCAGTAAACCATTATTAAACTAATGGATATGCCCGGTCTTCAAAAAGCCAAATGTGCAAAAACTTACCTCTGGCTGCCTTCTCAAAGGGGGCAGCTTAGAAGCTTGCAGCGCACGTAATTTCTTCAGTAGAAACATTTTATCTTTGCCTGCCTATAAAAATCAAGAAACACTAAGAGTTAGATGAATTAATTTGATGTTTTACTTTAGAAAGTCAGCAGCAACAGTCAAAGGCTTTTCTCGAAAACCAACCCTTCCTTTCTTTTATTAATTAAATACATTTCTACTATGCTCCAGTCAAAAATACTCCTGGTGGCTTACATGGACTCCTAAGCTTTCACAATATAATCTGAAATTCACATCAAACTTCATAAATAACCGTAAAAACTACCATACCTTAAAACGAGAAACGTAATAAAAAAATAAAATTACCGATGTTTTGCCATCTGTTCTGTATAGCGAATATCTATCTTAGATCAAGGTGTTAGAAAGCCTTCCAACTCAAAACGAAACTTTCCTGAGTTTAGTTTTAAGTTGGTGGAGCACTGGTTAGAATGCAGTACTGCAGGCTGGCTCTGCTGACTGCCAGGAATTCGATCCTTATTGGCTTAAAGTTGACTCAGCCTTCCATTCTTCCGAGGTGGGTAAAATGAGGATCCAGACTGTTTGGGGGCAAGAGGCTGACTTTGTAAATGGCTTAGAGAGGGCTGTAAATAAATCTAAATTCTACTGCTATTGCTGAAAGGACACTGTCTAATTTTGTGATCCTCAAAGACTGATTTGTAGATCACTAAATGGTCACATTTCCCCACTTTCACTGGCCAGGGTGTATGTAACTGCTGCCTCAGAGCTTCCCTCAAGTGATCAACACATAATAATTTTAGATTATATGTTTGGTATTAAACATATAAAGACATTTTTAAAGGGAGGAAATAAACATGTGCAACTAAAGGATTATTTATTTATTTTTTGCCAAAAAAGCCTAAACTGCCACGTTCTTAAAGATAAAAATGTAGGAAAAGAGGTGTTTGTTAACTCGGTGATCCCTGGAATTTGCAAAGTTTTCTGTTTAGTGATCTAGCTACAGAATTTTTGAGGAACATCAGTCACTTAGTCTCTGCTGAAGACCTTCAGTGATAAAGCAATCATTCCACTCCTTATAGAAGCAGCTACTGTAGTCAAAACTCTCTAATTGTTTCTCCTGATATTCAACAATGAACTACTTGTGGGAGATGACCAGGCTGAGCCCAAGGGAGGGGTCAAATACATCATCAGTCATGAGTCTTTTCACCCTCGCAAGAGATCTAAGTCTGGCCCCCTTTCGAATTCCTTTCTGTTCTCAACATCTGCTAATTTCCCTTGACCATTAGTAGTTCAGATTCTT